TGTATTGAAACCCAGCATTATAGTGAATTTTGGAATCACACCATTTTCTTGGCATTTGTTTATATTTAGATAGAAAAATATAGAAATACCATAAAAAAAGTTTGTCCCAAAATAATGATCTGTCTAAAGTTCTTGAATGAAATTATTTAATGTTTTATTTGAACTAGTATCCTCAACTTTGTTGTGTTAGTCACTACATTTCAGTGGTGGGTCTATGACTTAACTCAATTTATCACATCTAATTAACTTCAACTTTGTATCTTTTATCTTAACAAAAAAAGTCACTGTTGCTTGCTTTAGTGATGAAGTGAAGAAGAAAAATAATAAAATAATAATAATTCTTTCTGAGGAAGGTCTGAGAACCCACCAGCTAGTAGTAATTGAAACAACAAAGGTGAGATTTATTTTTTTTTTTTCCAAACATTTTTTTTCATTTGTTCTCCAACCATTATTAGATGTAAAATATTTCTTACATGAACACATGTTTAAAGGAGGAGAAAATAAATTCATATATATAAAGCAAACAAGAAAGGTGACGATGTTCAGTGACTTAGCAAAGAAACAAAAACACCTTTATTATTATTATTATTTTACACTAAAAGATTTCTTTTTTCTTTATTGTTATTTAATGATGAAATGTTGAAAGTGAAATTTCTTTAATTTTTTTTTTTTTATGGTATTTTACATTGATTGCTTCTCATGCTAAGGACATTTGAACTTCTGACCCTAGAAAATTTTTTTTAATCATTTTACCCCAAGTAAGGCAATAAATATTGGCTGGAGAGCAAGACACCAGAAGAAATACTAAGATTTTAAATATAATTTATGTAACTGTTTTAACAATACATCATATTTGAATAAATTATCATTTATGACAAAATGTAAAAAAATAAGCAACATTTTTCAACCATTTTCTATAGACAAACATATTTCTATTTAAATTTAAACTTATTTGTATTGAAATTCTTTTTAATTTTTAGTCAAATTTATTAATGTGTGATGTTAACAACCATACAATTCTATCATCATCAATATTATATCACCATTATTATCATTATTAATGATCACAATATTATTATATTCTCTTATAGTTATTTACTAGTTTGGTACATGGCTTTAATAATGGAATGCTCAATTATCATTGACCAGTAAGAGATTGACCTTGAATTATTTGCTTATAGTAGGCACTCTACTGCACTCTTTATAAATTGATACAAGTCATGTTGAAAATAATTTTATGATAAATTCCAAGATTTCTCTTCTAATTTGTCTTTCATATTTTTCTTTTAAAATTACCCAAAGCCAACATTCAGTTATTTTTCATTTTTATTTAAAAAAAAAATCTTTTTATCCAATTTGTTAATCTTTTATACTTGTTCACACATAAAAATAAACCTTTTTGGAATATTTGACTTGTTTGTTTTTTTTTTTGTTAGCCCAGAACTTTCCAAAGTTTTATATCAACTCAAAATAATCATTGAAATGCTCCAAATCAAGAAACAGCATTGTAATATTTTTTTCCCATCAAAGCAAACATGGCACTCTTTCAAACACTCAGTGGCATGCAAATAAAATTTATAAGTTTTTTGCATATTACATTTACTCTCTTAATCACCAAAATAAAGCAATACCTGAACAGTCAGTATTTAAATAGTTACCTATTTAAATTATAGACCCCGGGGGAAGGCCTATGTTATACTCTGCTACAAATTAGATCTCTTTCTGATTCACTCCACATCAAAACCTGTTGGCCAGATGTAAATGCGATGAAAGTAAAATTAAAAAATGTTGCTTTCTCCACAGGAGCTCTGAGTATTGCATACTGCTCACAAAATAAATCCCTCAAAAATATAAAATCTAAACAATGAAGATAATCACAAATGTTGCAGCTAAAGCAAAAGCGTGACAAAAAATGCTGAGTCATGTATCTACCCTGCCTGCTTAAGAGGACCCACTCGGCAGCACTCAAGCCAATACACAGTTCAGCAGTGACCTCTTGGTCAAACAACCTGATACAAGCTTCAACACCAGCCAAGCCTTACACAACCAAACTTTCCAGGTCACTTCCTTTGCCAAAAATAGAGACATGGAGCTTGGAATGAGAAATCTGACAGTGAGGTTTGAATTCCACTTGAGTTTGTTACACTCACTTATGCACAAATAATTTTAGAAAGTGTATGAATCCATCTCTTCTACCCCCAGCTATGGATTAAATAGAAGTGTAGACTAGGCTCCTTAGCCTTTGTTGACAATATGTTTAGAAGAAGGACAATTCAAAACTTGAAAGGGTCTTTTTTTAAGAACTTGTGGACATTATATGCACCAATTTTCTGTATTCCATTATTTTGAAAAGAGTGACTGATTCTGCACAAGCCTTCACCACTACAATCAAATCATATGTGTGAGTAGTCTGGCTGTTCAGATCTAAGGAGTGAATTGTTGAACCATCATACATCAAAGACAGCGGAAGAGTCCATCATATACTTTTTAAAGCCATAATAAAATTTTGTACTGACTCATAAATTATTTAAATAAAATAAGCAAAACAATGCATAAGGTTTATTACACAAAATTATCTTGGCTTATGAGTAAGAAAATGTTATATAAAAATGACAAAGTTTCAATGTGACTTGATAAGTGCATTTGGAATTATCAGGTGACACCATCAACTGATCCTGCCTCTGGGTAGGTGACATGTTTTACAAAGACAAATAATAGTGGCCTTGTGCCATTGTATTGATTAAAAGGTTGAGGGGGATAAAGAAGATAATCTTCATAGATCAATACATAATCAATGGCTTTATGGTGTGAATAAATCTGGGTAAATTTAGCAAAAAAAAAAAAAAAAAAAAAATGGTTGTCACTATGTCTCAGGTGAGAAATGAATTTAGGTGAAATTTAATCATTAAATAAAAATTACTTCCCTGGATTTCTTTGAATAAGTTTAGAGTTTTTCATTTGAACTTATTCCTTTTGTCGTTGTTATTTTATTATTTTATATTGTTCTAGCAATGTTTCTATTGATCCATTCTGCAGTCATCTTTATATGGATTATCCATATGGGTGATACCTTCAGACTCTGAATCAAAATCCAAAAGAAATTGATGGCAATACATTTCCTGTCAATATTGGATATCAGGATTTTAAAAACTGTCCAAAGAATGCATAGAAAAAAAAATGATAAAAATCTGTGGAAAATAGCCTACTGAATTAAAGCATTGGTGTGTGAATTTGACATTGTGAATCCAATCCCTGGGCAGAGTAGTACAGTGAAAACACGGTGTGTAATACCTGGGAAGCACTAAATACTAAAATATCCCTAGACATGAGTAGCAGATTGCGAACAAATTACTATTGTAAATTAAATAGTGTTCATTTTGAAATTCCCTGTTGGTTACTAGGATTGACAAACACCTGATGGTAGATGAAGGGTACAATTACTGAAACATTGTGATAATAATAACAAAGATATATGGATTTACTTAGTTTTGAAAGTCATATTCTAAGCCAGTAGTTCCCAAATGATACAGCTTACCTCATAGGTACAGCAGAAGCAGATAGCAGGTGAGGCAGAATGATTGAAAGACAGATTTAGAAACAGTTTCAAAATATTCTTATGCTAAAAATAAATATAATTTCAAAATTTAAAGTATTGTTATGGATTACTTGTAATTGTATGCATCAGCCCTAGTATAAATAGTTATAAATAATTATTGACTGATTTTTTTCATTGTGATATTTTTGCATTATATCAAGTATTAAGAATATAGTAACTAAGGTCTGCAAATTGGAGGAGAGAGTTATCAATGATAATGTTCTGACTTTGAATCCACAGTTATCTCCCTTAAACTCTCTCTCTCTCTCTGTTTTTTTTTTTATTTTTAAATGTACATTTTATCATAAAATTTGTTGAGGTGCAAGCAAATTTTCATTCCAAAAATGTATCCCAGAGAAAAAATAGTTGGGAACCTCTGTTCTAAGCTAAAGTTTGCTAGTATTTTGAGATACTCTTGACCAAAGGCACCTTTTTGTTAATGGTATTGGTGTTTAAGCTTTCCTGATACCAGTCAATAGTAGATAAAATGTACTGCAGCCTTAACTTAGCAGTTGCATAAGCCTTTTCTTATACCTGTTAATTAATCGAGTATGAAGGGTGTGTAGGTAGCATAATGGTTACCTGTATAGAAAGTGGAAGTGGCAAGCAAATCATGGAGAAGGCAACAAGGAAACCATTATCTTTGCCAAGATTGATTTTTTTTTTTTTATTTATGGTTTATCAACCTTCAGCAGGCTATTAAATGTCAGAAAATATTTTTATATTGTAAGAATTCTTTGGAGATAATGATTTATTGATAAAATTATTACTAATTAATTCATAGTTGGGAGTGAGAAAAGTTGGATTCATGCCTTTCCCAAGGGTATTTGTGCATAAGTGAATATAACAAACCCAAATGGAATTGGAACTTGGCTCTCAGATTTCCAATTTGGAGCCATTATCAATAAACCACCACATCTAAACTTACAGCACCTGGTATTCCCAAGCCATTACTCATCTAAGTACTGACCAGGTTGCTTAACTTCAGTGATCATACAAGAATCAGTGTTTTGATTAGATATGGCTGTAAGCCTCTCCTGTTAATCAAGTATGTAGGATGTGTGTGTGGCTGGGATAACATTTGCCTGTGCAGAAAATAGAATTGGCAAGAAAACCATGGAGAAGGCAACAAAGAAGCCATTCCACAATTTTTGTCAAGAAGTCATGACAATTCACAGATAATAAAGGAGAGTGTCATTATTGCTTACATCCCAAAGGGGCATGGCCTTAAAAGAAAATTAAGTATTTATCTATGATATATATTTCAACATCAACTTTAAGGAAAATGTTCTATCAGATTTGATAAATCTTGAATAAAAATCTGGGGTTAAGTCCTTCTTCCATCAGTAATTCAAACTAATATCCTTGTTATTTCATTTCAACTCATGTTGTTTTCGTTTTTCAGCTGTACATTTCATTTCTGAAAGACTTCTGAATGTCACAAACTCTTGAAGAAGTTTGGTAATTGTCATATAGGAAGAAGATGAGTAACTACCGATACCGAGGATCGAACGTGACACTCTGAACTTATGAATATCTGTTTTCCACCAGGTGTATAAATAGTGGTGTCAGGTTACTGACTGCAGTGATTATTGAGTAACTATTGAGTGGAACTATCCAGTTGAATTAGTGTGAATTATTGTGTGTTGATGATTTGGGTTTTGATTTAGGATTTACCAGATGTTAAGTCAAGACGTGCTACTAACAAGGTATTCACTGAAATGGTTAATTTATCTTTGGTTGACTTTTACTTCTTTGTTCTTGTTAAGTATTTATTTGCGGTTGTAATTAAATACTGTTTTATCTTGACATTGAAGTCTTGTGTCATACTTAATCATAACAGCCACTGTATATCACGAAAGTAACCAAAATGTGATAAGAACAATAAAGAGAAGAAAAAGAAAATAGTTTGAAGAAATCAAAGAATAAATCAAAAAAAATAAAACAATTTCTCTAAGAAATTGAGACTGTGGACTTAATTATGGAACCTGTCCACCTCACAAAGAACACCAATTTAGTTGGTTCCTATCAATAAACTGGATTTTCCTGTTTCATAAGCTTTTACTGGTATTGCCAGAGGAATGCATAGTGATTTACTAAGCATAGCTTAGATGTGATACAAGCCCAATAGTATGGAGCACATAGGGAGGATCAAACTCACTACTTAGTTGACATTTGAAATTTAAATGTTAAATTAGAAATCAATATAAAAATTAAATTTTAATCTAATCTTAACTTTAATGCACTAACAGATTGTACTTATACCAGAGTATGTTGTGTTGTTATTTTAAATAATAGGTTACGTAACAAAGTTTGCCCTACTGAGGTGGTTTGGTTGGCTTTTGAACTCTTAAAATTATTTATTTTCTATTCAACATCATCACTTCATAAGACACCAGAAGTGTTGAAACAAAATTGCAACTTTTGTAGTGATCTTATAACATGCATATGTTATAAATTTGAACACACACACACATATATATATATATATGAATGAATGTAATGAGAACAAAAATAATATAAATTCTAACATTTACAGCATTAATTCAAAAGAGGGCTCGATAGCAAGAGTAGAGCAATAACTATTTATTATAATTTTTACATACAGACAAAAACAACTTTCTCACTACAAAGATGCATTCTTGTTTCAATGCAGCTGCATCTCAACTGGTGAGAAGCAAATTTGAATTGCGCAAGTTGTTTTTGTCTGTATGTAAAAATATATATATATATAAGTAGTTTTTCATAGTTCTAGAGCTAGGTGGTTGAAAAGATTTTGGAGGGAAGAAATTGTGTCAGATTGTTTAAAATTATGTGATCATTTCCTGCCTATTTTGTGTCTACCTGTAACAAACTTATACATACACAATAGCCCTGCCAAGAAAATACTGAGAAATCATAATTTATAGAACTATTATTTTTGTTACATCAGATTTATCTGAGACTTACTACTCTGTTTCAAGGAATATACAATCTCATGTGTAGATACTACAAATAAAACTCTTATTAGAAATTCAATACTGGTTACAGCAGTTTTGTTGTAAAAAAAAACAAAAAAAAAACTTTTTTTTTTCTGTATGGAAACATCACTTGACCAAAATCCTACCTGAAAGACATTTCAATTGAAGCTAAGAGACTTTATTGTTTTATAAACTAGAACTTATGGGGGTGATTTTCTCAAACAAATCCACCATTAGGAAGAACATCTCCAGTTCCAATAACCCGAGCAAGAGTCAGTGACACAGGATTTAGTTGAACAAAACATCACTGCTAACAATGATCTGGGAAACAATCTTCAACTAATCACAGTCTAATTGTCATTTGGAAATGTGGATGGATTATATTTGGTGCCAGGAGCAATATTTGATGCTGAGGATAACATAGAAATATACACAGCATATAGTGTTATGTCTAGAGCCATCTTGCTAGGACTTTAACCCAGGGAAATGACCATGAAAAGCCCAGACATAATTGGTAAGATCCTGGAGCAAATAGCTTTGAGATTGGAATTAACAACATAAGTGAAAATTGGTGAAAAGCAGAAAAGTCTTGTGAATTTGTTAAGATTTAAGTGGGATTTTTAGTGCTTTGTGTGCTCTGAATACAGAAATCCATAGACCAACAAAAGAAGAAAGACAATTTAAAGAAGGAACGTCTTTTTTACGTTCTATTACCTTCTTGTAATCTTTATGCACCATAGTGTTCTTGAAGTTCAGTGTGTTGATAAAAAGAAAAACAGGGAGAACCTACAAAAGTCCAAATATTAACATAGAAGACATTAAACAGAACGGTTCGCATCTATAACAAAGGATGAAGAAGACATCTGAATGGATGAGATTGTATTTGGAGAAGTAGAATGGGGTAACTTGAGATGCAACAATAAAACAACAAATATAGGAATTTGATTGAAATATAGTAAAAGGAGTCTTTTCCTGAATTGGCTGGAAGCGATGCTAGGCTTGAATAAATGAGTTTATAGAGTTAAATGAGGGTTAGTGGCAAAATGACTCAAAGCTGTGAAAAAAAATGGGGGGGCGGGGGTATCTTAACAGGAAAATGAGAAACCGTGTCACAGGAAATGTGTTTGCCATTGTGGAACAGATGGTAAAGATGGGCCGGGGGGGGTAGGTCAGGTTGGTGTCAACCAATCATATTAAAAATGTTAGTCTCTGAGAGCCTCTAAAAATACTTAGATTGATAGAAGCAAAGTTACAGTGTTCAAAATGAACATCAATCAGCATGTGAAATTTGCAATGACAATCAGAATCTTGAATCTCCAAAATTAAGTATGGTCATACTGGTGTGCCTCATTTAAATTTCTCTCTAAGAATGGGTTTATTTTTTTATGGCTTATCAACCCTTTGTGGGTTATTTAAAGCCAAAACATATTTCAGATTGTAGGAGTTTGTTTACAGTACCTGGTGTTCCCAAGAGGCCCCACCCTCATCTAAGCACAGACCAGGTTTGATGCTGCTTACTGAGGTGGTCAAACAAGAAATATTTGTTTTCAGCATGATTGTAGAAAAGTCAAGAATTCAGTTTTTAATCCAAAAGGATTTTAAAGATGAATCTTTGCTTAAGGATATTTTATCTTTTATACAAACACTAAGTATTTTATGGATGCTGTTACTTCTAACCCTAATGATTATATCAGTTTTTTGTTTTTATTCCAAACATTTGATATTTAAAATTTGAACACATTCCTTTATAAAAATGTATATGTAACAAAAAACAACAAAATTCAATAACTTATTTGTCCTTGTTTTTCTAAATTGAAATGCTCACCTGCCAAAGATTTGAAATTGGAGACAAAAAAATGGAAGTACTCATAAATTCTGGGAGTTACAATTTTTGTATGTGTTGTGCAGAAAAACAACGGCCGACCATCTCTACTCTAATTATTGAACATGGGCTCATCCATCGACTGTGAGTAGAATGTCTGCTCATAGCAACATTTGTCACAAGGTGTTTTATTCTAATGCACTACAGCACTGAACTATGGTATTCTCTATTACAGTATTATTAAACAGAACTGCGAAGGTTATACAAATTTTATAACAGTATCTTCAACTCGCATGATAGAAATCAACTAAAATAGAGAGAATTTCACACTTCAACATTTCTTGCATTTGTTTCTTTAATGAACTCATTGGTTATTTTCGTATTTTTTTTTATTCTTATTACTGCAAATGGCTGTAAATTTGCAAACAAAAATTCTATTGATGTTTTTTTTTTAATAATTAACTTTAATGCAATTTTTTTGCAGGTTCCTGTACAATCAAAGCTAAGCAATGTTGAGCCTGGCCAGTACCTAAATGGGTGATTGCATGGAAATACTTGGATTTGTGTGTGTGGGGGGGGATGGATAATGGCTTGGAATTGTTAATCAGGGAGAAAAGTTCCAATACCAGTTGGGTTTGTTATATTTACTTATGCATAAATACCTTTAGGAAAGGCATGAATCCATTTCTTCTCTCTCCCGCTATGGGTTAATTAGTAAGACTTGCATAATTATTATTATCTTAAGAAAAAAAAAAGATAATCTTACAATCTAAACATATTTTCTGGCTTTAAATAAACTGCAAAGAGTTGATAAGCCATAGAAAATCAATCAATATTTTCTTGCAATTAAACTTGCAAATTGCACATGTTCATTTTTGATACTATATTCTGATCTTAGGTAGAAGTGATGACCCATATGTAGTAATTTCCTAAGTCTAGCTGAGATGTGACACAAGGCTGCAAGTATGGAACACCCAGTGGAAATCAAACTAACTACTCAGTTGTAATTGTTCTAGTCAGACAAGCTTGTTAACCATGTTCAAGTAACTGTGTCAACTCATGTCATTATTTTTATGTGTACTGAAAGACAGAAGGGAAATTGACAGAAACAATGAAAAATATTTTCTCTTCAGAAAGAAAAATGCAGAACAAAAGAATGACAAAAAAAATAATAAAATAATTCCATTTTTTAAAGTTAAGAGAACTTTATTTTCAACCTTGCCAAACTTTTCTGGAAGTCTACAGAATTCCTAAAAAGTAACAATTCTTTTGCCTAAAACTATCAACAGAAGTTATACATTTCATTGTTTGGTTGGTATAAGTTCTTTATATACTTTTATACATATCTTTTTCATTAACTTTTATATCTCTGACTGTGCAACCAAGACTCAAAAGCAAACTTACCAATAAATATCTTTTTCACCTGTCAGAACATGCAACACCAGATTATACATTCCCCCACTTTTGTCCCAAGTAACTTTTTTCTTTTTTTTTTTAAGGGTGGGGGAGTGAGAATGAGAGCAAGAGAGATCAATGTTGATCAAGCAACAATTACCTCCTTTGATATATTAGTTATATGAAGTTTGACTTTGAAAAGGTTGATTTTGGACATAACTAATTATAAAGAAAAGAAAAATATAGATGTTATAAGACGTTGCTAAAAACATTTT